AGCCAGCAAGGCAGCCAACAGGCAGCCGAGCAGGCAGGCCACCAGGAACCAGGCAGCCAACGATACAGCCACAGGGCAGCCGACGAAGCAGCAGCGACGGGGGATCCCAAAATGGATCCCCCTTGCGCACCTGCGCGCGCATGTCGCGCAGATCTAGACCATTTTCACGGACAGAAGCCACCCGAACCTATGGCGCTACTAATGGAAAAAGGGCATCCGAGATATAGGATGCCCTCGCTCACTGGACTGCATCCATTTTCAGGATGCCCCCGTTGGAAGGATGACCGCAGCGCTTTCTGGACCGAGCGCATTTGGCCCGTCGTTGTCTCCACAGCCGGAGAATGTCGCCGAAATCCTTCACTCATGTATCTGCCGACGAGCACGTCGCAATGCGCCGCTTGCATGACTGCGGCATGGGCGTCAAGAGGATCGCCGCGGCCTTGAGCCGCTCCACGGACACCGTCTCGAAGCATTTGTTCAAAAAGAACACGACCAAGAAGTCCAAGGGCCGCCCGAAGCATTCCATCCGCACCCCCAAAGGGTTTCTCGCTGCCCAGCGCGCTTACAAGAAGCTTCTGAAGTCCTCGGGCGGCACAAAGGAAGTGACGGCAGCCATGCTGAAGTCCGAGATGAAGTTGAAATGCGACATCAAGACAGTGCGCCGCGCGTTTGCTGAGAATGGCTACCAGTTCCGCCCGCTGTACGAGAAGCCTGACCTTTCTGATGGGGACAAGAAGGAGCGCCTGCAGTGGGCCCGCGAGCACAAGCACCGGAGCCCCAGCCAGTGGTCACAGTACGTCCACGCGTGCATGGACAACAAGGTGTTCCAGGTGCTGCCCAATGCGAAGTACAGGAAGGTGGCGGCAAAGCGCAAGGTTCGCGGGGTGTACAGGAAGCGCAAGCGGGACTTCTCCGTGGGCCACGTCAAGCCGAGCAACCCTAAGGTTCTCGGGCTGGCGCAAATCGGAGACCGCGCCGCGGCCACTCAGCGCCAGGCCAGTGGCCGACGGCGCGCTCTGATTTGGCTCGCCCCCAGGTTCTGAAGCAGAGTTCGGGCAAGGGCTCCGTGACCATCGCGTGCGCCATCGGCGCGGGCAAGGTGTTGATGTGGCACCAGGTGGTCGGCAGGTGGAACGCCGCAGCCGCGGGGCGAATGTACTCGGGGGCGCTCCAGCCCGCTTTGAAGAGGGCCTACCCTTCCGCGCGCGGCAAGTTCCGCGTCATGGAAGACAACGACCCCACGGGCTACAAATCTCGGTCGGGCATGGCGGCGAAGAAGTCCGCTGGCATCCAGACGTTGGACTTGCCGAAGCGGTCCCCTGATTTGATGCCGCTTGATTTCGCCTTCTGGGCCAATCTGAACAAGCGCATGAGGGGGCAGGAGAAGGACTGGCCCGCGAGCAAGACGGAGACGCGGGCGCAGTACCTGGCCCGGCTGCGCCGCACGGCGTTGGCGACGCCTTCTGAGTACTTCCACAGCATCATGGGCAGCCTGCACAAGCGCTGCGGCTTGTTGGTCGAGGCGAAGGGCGGCCACTTCGCCGAGGGCGGTGGGAACTGAGCGCGCGCGCGGTTTCGTCGGGCGGCCGCGGCGCGATTCGCGGCGGGCACGGGCGGCGGGCGACCGCGGCGCAGACCGCAGCGGGCCGGGGCGGCGGGCGGCCCGTAGCGGCCCGCGCCTCGGTTGACCCGCGCGAGCGACGTGGGGCGCGGGAAGGGAGCCAGTCGCGGTCCTCGATCAAGACCAATCCGTGCGTCCACCGCCCTTGCGGCTACAGGGCCAGCAGACGTAGTCGACAGTACCTGATCTTGGCATTATGATTCTGTCCGCCGAGGCCCCCCAGGCGCCAGCGCCCTGGCGGCCCCAGAGAGCCCCTCGCACGAGACATGCAGCAAAAGACATAGTGAACCAACAGTGAACCAACAGTGAACCAACAGTGAACCAACAGTGAACCTTCGTAAAAACCATAGTGAACCTCGAATTCTATTAAAAAAGAATAGGGAACTTCTTTTTTTTATAAAAAAATTGAGGTTCACTGTGTAATTTGCAATGGTTCACTGTTGGTTCACTGTTGGTTCACTGATGGTTCACTGTAGGTTCAGTATGGTTTTTATGCATGTTTGCACATGTCCCACAATGCCGCGCGAGCGGCATCCATGGACAGGATCCGCCGACCCCGCCCAGAGGTGCAGGGGGCGCGCCAGGCGCGCCAAGTGCGCCGCGTGCGACAGGTGCGCGGCACGCGACAGGTGGGCCACGCGCGCCAGGAGAACGGGGCGCGCCCAAGTGCGACAGGTGCGCAGACGACGCCAGGTGCAACGAGCTCCCCAACTGAGCAGCCAGGCGGCGTTTTACGATGCCCCCGAAGACCCCGACGGTCCGCATAGCGTTTTTCTCTGTAGCCTGTCGGCTCAGCGGGGCGGGGGCTGGCCCTGGCCGGGTCGCGCGGGGGGATGGCGCTCTCGGTGGACAGGCCAGAGAAGCGCCGCAGGCTTGTGGGGAAGCAGAGCCAGCAGACGGCGCTCCTCGAGCACGCCTTGGGCGAGGAGAACAGGAACGCCTCGCGGGAGGTCTACTTGGTGACTCTGCCGCACACGGACAAGGAGGGTCTCAGAGCGCCAGCGGCTTTCTCGCGGGAGGAGGTCCGCGACGCTTTCCTGGACTGCTGCGGCGCTCCGGACGCCGACCCCGCGTGGCTCGCAAGCCACCGCGGGCAGGGGGCCGCGCCCGTCGGGGTCAAGAAGCTGGTGGTATTCAAAGAATACCACGCGCCAGTGGCAGGCGTCCGGCGGGCGCACTACCACGTGGCCTTGCACCTGGGCAAGAAGAGCAAGTTCCTGACCGTGAAGCGGGCCTTGCTCAACAGGTACCAACTCGCCTCTCACTGGTCCTGCAGCCACGACGGGCGCTGGTCGGCCGTCGGGCACTGCGCGAACACGACGCCCAAGAAGCCGCGGAGCGCCCTGGACGTTGACTACTTGGCTTGGCCCGCGGACCACCCGCCGCTGTCCGCGGCGAAGAGGGAGCCGACGACCGCCCGCGCCTTGGAGAAGCGCAGGACCGCGCGGGAGCAGGTCGAGGGCGAGAAGGGGAAGCCAGAGCCTCGCGTCGAGGAAGTGGACCTGTGGCCGATAGTGGTCAGGTCTGGGATCCGGAATACTCCGGACGACCCCCACGCAGTGCGCAAGTTGATGGCGTACGCTAAGACGTCCTGCTCGCACAAGGTGGTTGCCTGGATGTTCAAGAACGAGCACGTGCTGGAGAAGAAGATCATCGACAAGACCTGGGCGTGGGAGAACGTGGACAGCTTCCTCGAAGACGCGACGAAACCCGTCATGCAACAGTTCAAGGAGGCCTTGCGGACGCCTTGCGTTTGCGGCGGCCGCTGGTTGCACCACGTCCGCGAAAGCCTGTCGATGAATCGCATCGACGTCCCCGACCTGTGCAGCAGCATCTTGATGTCCCTGAAGCACGGTCGGTCCGAGGCGGCCCCGGTGGTCACCTTGGCTGGGCGCTTCGGCGGAGAGGGGAAGTCTCTTCTCTTCTCGGCGGTTCGGCCGCTGTTCGGCGGTGAGCACGTGCAGGAGAGGCCAGGCGGGGGGCAGTTTTGCCTCCACGGCTTGGACAAGGCCAAGGCCGCGGTGCTGGACGAGTGGATGTTCATCGATGAGGACCTCCCCCTGTCCATCCAGCTCCTGTGGCTGGAGGGCAAGCCCGTGCCCATCACCATGCCCCAGAACCAGCACGTCGGGCACAAGGTGTACATGGGGTCCGCCCCGATTTTTGTCACCTGCCCCGAGACGGCGCTGGCGGGCCTCTCGTCCGAGTCGTCGCAGCGCCCGCAGGGGCAGGCTGGCATGCTGCTCCGGCGGCTGAAACTGTATTTATTCACTGTGCCGATTCCCAAGCCGCCGGCCCCGAAGCTAGTGCCGTGCCCGCGCTGTTTCTCGACCCTCGTCACAAGCGAGGCTCTTAAGTTCAAGCCCAAGTAGTCCTGCCGCGTGCGATTGGGGTCGCTGCGCGCAGACATCATCACCATCATCGCCATCATCACTGGCGCCATTATCGTCGTTGCCACACCTCGTTGCCCCATCGGGAACTCCATGGAAGGCCCCGATGGCTGACTTCGCATGCCGCGCCCCGACAATTTCGGCAGACCCCTAGAGCGTTGCACGACCGCCACGGGCACGTCGTGCTTCTGGCCCGGCACGACTCCGACCATCACCGTCGACGATGCCAGTGCTGTCGCCTCTGGGCCCGTCCGTCAGTCCGCGTGGAGCCTCTTTGGGGGTCGTCTTGGAGCCCCCGTGGATCTTCGCAAGGCCCCCTGGAGGCCCTCTCGGGCGAGGTCTACGACAGAGGCCCCCCGCTGCATTCCGTTAAATTCCATTCACTCCAACTCCTCCGCAGGCCCCCCACTCCTTCCCAGTCCTCGCCACTCCCCTGCAGTCGTCCGCACCCCACCGCACTCCGCCAACACAAATTCCGAAACCTCTCATTCCTCCACGCCCCTCCGCACTATTCCCAACTGCTCCACGCCCTTCCGCACTCCACCCGAAACCTCCGCAACCGCCCCACTCCCCCCCACCCCTCCGCACTCCTCCCGAACCTTCCGCAACCGACCCATTCCCCCAGACCCCTCCGCAATCTTCCCAGAAACTCCGCAATCCTGCCATTCTTCTCACCCCTCCGCACTCTTCCCGAACATCCGCAACTCTCCCATTCCTCCACACCCCGCCGCATTCTTCCCAAAACCTCCGCAAGTCTCCCATTCCCCCACATTCCTCCGCACTCCTCCCGAAACCTCCGGAGCCCTTCGAATTCGTTCCGCCCCTCCGCGCTCCTCCCGAACATCCTCGATCCGTCCCATTCCCCCCCACCCTGCGCACTCCTCCCAAACCTTCCGCAACCGTCCCAGTCCTCCACACCCCTCCGAACTCTTCCCGAAACCTCCGCAATCCTGCCAGTCTCTCCACCCCTCCGCACTTTTCCCGAACATCCGCAACTCTACCATCTCTCCACATCCCTCCGCACTCCTCCCAAAACCTCCGCAACCCTCCCATTCCCCCACATCCCTCCGCACTCCTCCCGAAACCTCCGCAACCCTTTTATCATTCCACATCCCTCTGCACTCCTCCCAGACACCCGCACCTCCCCCATTCCTCCAGGCCCCTCCGCACTCCTCCCGAAACCTCCACAACCGTCCCATTCCTCCACATCCGTCCGCACTCCCCCCGAAACCTCCGGAGCCCTTCCATGTCTCCCCACTCCCCCGCACTCCTCCCGGGACATCCGCACATATCCGCACCTCCCCCATTCCTCCACACCCCTCCGCACTCCTCCCGAAACTTCCGCAACCCTCCCATGCCTCCACATCCCCTCGCACTCCTCCCAAACCTTGTGAAACCGTCCCATTCCTCCCCACTCCTCCGCACACCTCCCGAAAGAGACCTCCGCAACCCTCCCATTCCTCCACGCCCTTCCGCACTCCTCCCGACACCTTCGCAACCCTTTCACCCTTCCACATCCCTCCGCACTCCTCCCAAACCTTCTGCAACCGCCCCATTCCTCCCCACCCCTTCCGCACTCCTCCCGAAAGAGATTTCCTCCACCATCCCATTCCTCCCCACCCATCCGCACTCCCCCCAAAACCTCCGCAACCCTCCCAGTCCTCCCCACGCCACCGCACTCCTTCCTCACCTCCCACAACCGTCCCATTTCCCCTCAACCCTCCGCACTCCTCCCAATCCTGTGGGGTTCTCCCATTCCTCCAGACCCTTCCGCACTCCTCCTGAAATGTCTCACCCCTTGCCCCAGCGTCCCTTCCGCACTTTCTGAGTGTACGGCGCTCACCCCTTGCCCACAGAGCGTCCCACACACCGAGGCGTCCTTACAACGCCCAGGAGGAGCGGCACGGGCAAGGAGCGGATGGGGAGGAGGGGAGGAAAATAGGGTGAGGCGGACTTCCCTTCTTCCTTCACGCATTCCTTTTCTCCTTCTCATCGTCTCCCTCCCCCTCCTACCCCTGTTCCTCATCCCTCCTTGAGGGTTGTGGGGTGATTGGATGATGCTCGCCTGCTGATGATGCTGATACTGATGATGGTGAGATTGATGATGATGATGGATGATGATGATGCAGGATGATGATGATGATGAGATGATGACATGATGATTGATTGAGGTGGAGGATGGATTGATGCCGCCGATTCGAGGCGATTATGATTGTAAGCTCGGACAGTTTTGTTGGCCTCCTAATCCATCTGTACAGGCTCCTCCTCTCCCTCCTCCCTACTCCCACCTGTAAAACAAGATGGGGGACCGTACATGGACATTATATTCGAACCCTGTGGTCCAAGATGCCCCCCCGAACCCCCGAATTTAATATTGATGGCGCGGCGACGGGGGGGGCGTGAGTGGACAGAAATATTCGAACCCCAAAGCACCGCCTTTGCTGAGATCAACATTGATGTCGGGGGCGCGGGGGTGATTCAGAATCTCCCTCGAATGTGTGAGGGTTCGAATATATTGTCCATCTACTGTCCCCGCCTCGGAAGAGCGGACGTCAAGCCCTCACGTGTGGCGTCCAAAACCCGGATTGCGGAGCAGATCCGGACGCGTGACAGCTTCTGGGAAACGCTTGCATGGGACGCACACAGACTTTCTAGTACTATATGTCATCCTTGGAGGCGCGCGTCCGACCCGAGCATATAGTATACCCATCTTGTAGTATATCGTTTCCCGAGCGGTGTGGCCAGAACGCGCCCGCCACGACGCATACTATACTATAAGATTTCTCGGTGCGCGCGTCGCCCCTGGGGGGGCGACGCACATATAGTATAAGTATTCTGGGGTGTTGCCGATTGCAAGGAAGCTTGAAAGGATGTCCGGGCAGCTTGCAGGCCTGCAGTGGGAGCTGCGAAGGAGCCCGGGGAGCGCTGCGAAGGATGCAGAAAGCACGGAATTGAGCAGGAACCGACCGTCCCGGCATTCCTGTAGCCCTACCACGACATGCTCTTAGAACAAAAGAATGTTCGAACAGCACGACCAGTGTTCTGAGAACATCACGCCGATGTGCTAAAGACAAGACGCTCTCAGCCAGAAATGTTCTAACACATTTCGCGCCAACCACAAACGAGTTCTGAGAGCACTGTGTGGTGGGCCTACAGGTCAGCCGGGACGCTTCGCCACGGCTCGACGGAGGTCAAGCCTCCGCGCTGGAGGTCTGCGATGCTCTGGGCCGTTCACGGCGTCGCGGGCGGGGGCCGGCCGCTCTCGGGTTCGGGGGGCCGACGAGAAAGCGGCCCTGGGCGAGGTGGCCCCCCAGGAGGCGCCCCCCAAGAGGCTGGGCGGGAAAGCGGGAAGTGCGAGAAAGCGGGGAGGTGGCCCCCCAGGAAGGGCGAGAAGGCGGCCCCGGGCGAGGCGGTGGCCCCCCAGGAGGCTGGCGAGCGCTGGTGGCGCGCACGAGGGGGGGGCCGCGGAGATCCTGGCGTACCATTCTTTTCGAGCCGGGCGTGCTCGCCTAGTTTCGGGCCCTGGGACCCTCACAGATCGACCCGGCTCGAGAAACGAAGCAAGAAGATTGGGTCCAGAGCACTGGCCGTGATTTTCCGCGATGCTGCGACATTTTCGCAGCGTCGGATCTCAGGGTAAAGGGGGTGCAGCGAAGGGGAGGTGGCCATCTAAGAATCCAAAGGGGCTTCTCAGAAAGCAAGGGCCTTCTTAGAGGGCCTCGGGGGCTTCTAAGGCGCCTGGGAGGGCTTCCGAGATGCCCCAGCCCAGCCCAGCCTTCTTCTCGATGAAGGAGGAGGAGGAGGAGGAGGAGGAGGAGGAGGAGGAGGAGAGGAGGAGGAGGAGGAGGAGGAGGAGGAGGAGGAGGAGGAGGAGGAGGAGGATGGAGGAGGAGGAGGAGGAGGAGAAGGAGGAGGAGGAGGAGGAGGAGGAGGATGGAGGAGGAGGAGGGAGGAGGAGGAGGAGGAGAGGGAGGAGGACCCAGCCTTCTTAGGAGGCCGCCCCTCGAGCCTCGCGCCACCACCCCCCCCGTGCGTGCCGCCACGGGAGGCCTGGGGCCGGATGCGGCCGGGGTGTCTGCGCCGGGGGGGCTGCGGGGCTCCCCTCCGGGAGAGCTCTGCGAGTCGCACGCCTCCCGCGCGGATCTGAGGAATCCGCGCGGAGCTCCAAAAGTTTACGTCTGTGCCATTTTTCTTCCTCGAGCTCCTCCGCCTCCATCTGCCTCTGAGGGGCAACAGTCGTCGGCGACGGGAGAGGGGGGGAGTGAGAAGAAGAAGGCCCTCTCAAAGGCGGCGGGGCTTCTCAGAAGCCTCTGGCTGTCTGAGAAATGTTCTCTGTCTCCCTCCCTCCCTCTTGCACTTGTCACCTTCTCCGAGCGCGAAGGTGACGCGTCTTGGAGGCGGCCAGGGGGTCCGAGCTGGATGAGCCCAGTGAAGGTTGGTCAAGAGGGGGGGGGCGAGGGCAGATCCGCGCAAAGTCTCTCATCCCCTGACCCCCTCCTGGGGTCGAAACAGGCCAGTTTCTCGAGGCGCGCCCGGTCGTGTTAGCGAGGGGGGCCCCTTTCCCACCCCGTCCTGCTGGCCGGAACCCATGCTGGGCCACTTCAGCCCCCCCTCTGAGGAACAACAGGCGGCATAAACATAAACTCTTGGAGGCCTGCGCGGATTCCTTGGATCGGCGCTGGACCCCCTTGGATCCCTTGGATTCCCTGGATTCCTCAGATTCCTTGGATTCCCATGGATTCCCTTGGATTCCTTGGAATTCCCTGGATTCCTTCGGACTCCTGGATTCCATGGGTCTGCGCGGATTCCTTGGATTCCCTGGCGCGCGGAGCGCGCCAGGGGCGGCGCAAAGGAGGCGCTGCCATTGGGGCGCCCAGCGCCGATCCCCAAGAACGCCGTGCGGAGCGTCGACAGTGTGTGTGCTTTGCGCCCGTGCTGCCCCTCGTTCGAAGCCACCTGGCCCGCTCCGAGTCCGGGGCTCCCGTGCTGATGGAGTTGTGGATGCCACGACAATGGACACCCTAACAGTCCGACCATCGATTTCAAAAAATGTTTCAAATCTCGGAAAATTGTCTAGACATGCCTTAAACATGTTTTGCATGCTTGAAGCATGTTTGAAGGGGCCCCAGGACACACACAAATAGATACACACAAATAAACAGATTCCCCATATTTTCCCATATTTTGTGGGTTTCTGTCTTCCCCCCCACTTCCCACATTTTCCCATATTTTCTGGGGAAACGAGGATTGATTGTGTCTGTGTGTTTCTTTTCCTCCTGAATCTTGCGCCCGTGCTGCCCCTCTTTCGGCGGTGGACAAACCTCCCTTTGGTAAACCTCCCCTTAGTCAAAACGGCCTGGGACCGAAACCGACGGACCTGGACCCGCAAAAATGACGGCCGCGACGCCCTCTCGCGAGCCGAAACCGGCAAATTCCTTGACCGACGTGTCAGGGTAGGAGGCCTGTCCACCCCCGACTCTCTCGAAGCCACGCAGCCCGCTCCGAGTCTGGGGCTCCCGTCGGAAGCCGGGCGAGGGCTGCCAAATCCGTGGCTGCTAAGACCGACCTCCGGGGAGATGTCTTCGTCCCTCCGGGAAGAAGCCCGTTGACTGTTTCGCGTGCCGCGCCTCATTCCGGGAAGTTGTTGTTTCCTTCCGGGAGGGCTCGCCATCCTCATGTTGGTTCAGGCTTCAATCCAAATCGGCGCCTGCGGCGGGCTTGCGATCGAAATTTGTTGTCTGGTGGTAGATTCGGCGCCTGCGGCGGGCCTACTCCTATGGTATATGTATATATGTTGAAGATGTGATAACAATCTATTTTCGCAACCTAATTTTTCCCTACTTTGAAACTGTTCCACATACCAGAACCTGTGCATATTACCTTCATTCCAGTTTTAGCAGCCCTCGCCCAGCTTCCGATCCCGTGCTGATAGCGTCAAGACATCGGAGGTCTGGCTCCGCGCGGGCTCGCGGGGGCTGCAGCAAAAACTGCGGCGGGGCGGGCGCGGCAGGGGAGGAGGGCATGCCGACGCCGATGCTGTCCCCTCTCCTCCTTCCCCCATCCCTCTCCTCTTACTCCCCGTCTCCCCTTACTCCTTACTCCCCTCTCCCCATCTCCCCTCTCCCCTCCCCATCACTCCTTCCCCCCTTACCCCTTCTCCCTCAGCCTTACCCACGGCCGCCCGCTGCCGCAGGAGCTGCTTTCCTCGAAGAGTTCGAAAAGGAAGAGGTTCAGAAGGGAAGGACATGCTTCCCTTGTACGATGGTGTTCTAAAGCCTGATGCCCTCACCGGGCACCCAATGTGGCCATCAAAGTAAGGAGACCCATGGAACTCTATCGAGGACGACGATGTGCTTTTCATGACCGGCTGGCACGCGTGATGCGTGATGGCTCTGGAGTGGTGTGCTTGTTTGGTTACGGTGGGGACATTGGATAAGGAACCCTTGGAATGAAGAATCCAGGGTCTGGCAACCAGTGGAAGTCCAATCGTGGATTGGCCAAGGATGGCACTGCTGCCCTCCTCAGACAAGGAATCCCCCACGGTCTGAGGCCTCCTGGCACCTTCTCCCATGAACGCCCCCACCGTGCGCACGTGTAGCAGCATTCCGATTATCGGGAGCGGCCAAGAGGGGGGTGTCCAAGAGGGAGGGGGGGGGGGGGGGCAAATCATGGCCGGCGGCATGTGCGCGGCCCAGCGGGGGGGCCAGGGACGTAATGAAACAAGAAGAGGCGCCATGAGATCTGGGGAACTATCGTGGCCCACGCCATGATATCCACCCCCCCCTAGTCATCACCACCCTCGTTGCCGCCCCCGAGATTATGTCCACGTTCTTTGTGGGGCGAGCCGCTCCCCGGGCCGCTTGGCCGAACGTCGCGTCTGCGCTTGCGCGCGGTGCCCAGCTGCAGCCCGGGGCCTCGGCCGGACTGCGCCGATGCGCGGCCTGCCTCTGCCGGACTGCCCCCTCCCTCGCCGATGCCTGTCCGCACCTCGCTCCATTCCTGGACTGAGACGCCCTGGCGTGGAGGGCCCGCGAGGTCTTCTACGAACACGTCAATTCCCTCCAGCTTGCCCACCATCTGGCTACCTACCAGACCACCCCAACCCAGCCCGAAAAGACACGAATTTCGGGTTGGGGGGGGGGTACGGGTTCCATATGTGTTTTTTCAATGTTCCCAGACCCCCCCACACTGGAAATGGAGGGCAAATCGGGGCCTTCGGGTTGGGTTGGGGTGGGTTGGTGGGTGGTGACTATCCGCATCTCGCTCCATTCCTGGACTGAGACGCCCTGGTATGGAGGGCCCGCGAGGTCTTCTGCGAACACGTCAATTCCCTCCAGCTTGCCCACCATCGGGCTACCTACCAGACCACCCCAACCCAACCCGAAAAGACACGAATTTCGGGTTGCGGGGGGGTACGGGTTCCATGTGTGTGTGTTTTTTCAATGTTCCCAGACCCCCCCCCACTGGAAATGGAGGGCAAATCGGGGCCTTCGGGTTGGGTTGGGGTGGGTTGGTGGGTGGTGACTATCCGCATCTCGCTCCATTCCTGGACTTAGACGCCCTGGTATGGAGGGCCCGCGAGGTCTTCTGCGAACACGTCAATTCCCTCCAGCTTGCCCACCATCTGGCTACCTACCAGACCACCCCAACCCCAACCCGAAGACGCGAATTTCGGGTTGGGGGGGGTACGGGTTCCATATGTGTTTTTGTCAATGTTCCCAGACCCCCCCCCACTGGAAATGGAGGGCAAATCGGGGCCTTCGGGTTGGGTTGGGGTGGGTTGGTGGGTGGTGACTATCCGCATCTCGCTCCATTCCTGGACTTAGACGCCCTGGTGCGGAGGGCCCGCGAGGTCTTCTACGAGCACGTCGAGTCCCTCCAGCTTGCCCACCATCTGACTACCTACCAGACCACCCCAACCCAACCCGAAGACGCGAATTTCGGGTTGGGGGGGGGTACGGGTTCCATATGTGTTTTTTTCAATGTACCCAGACCCCCCCCCCCACTGGAAATGGAGGGCAAATCGGGGCCTTCGGGTTGGGTTGGGGTGGGTTGGTGGGTGGTGACTATCCGCATCTCGCTCCATTCCTGGACTGAGACGCCCTGGTCCGGAGGGCCCGCGAGGTCTTCTGCGAGCACGTCGATTCCCTCCAGCTTGCCCACCATCTGACTACCTACCAGACCACCCCAACCCAACCCGAAGACGCGAATTTCGGGTTGGGGGGGGGTACGGGTTCCATATGTGTTTTTGTCCATGTTCCCAGACCCCCCCCCACTGGAAATGGAGGGCAAATCGGGGCCTTCGGGTTGGGTTGGGGTGGGTTGGTGGGTGGTGACTATCCGCATCTCGCTCCATTCCTGGACTGAGACGCCCTGGTGCGGAGGGCCCGCGAGGTCTTCTGCAAACACGTCGATTCCCTCCAGCTTGCCCACCATCTGACTACCTACCAGACCACCCCAACCCAACCCGAAAACGCGAATTTCGGGTTGGGGGGGGGGTACGGGTTCCATATGTGTTTTTTCAATGTTCCCAGACCCCCCCACACTGGAAATGGAGGGCAAATCGGGGCCTTCGGGTTGGGTTGGGGTGGGTTGGTGGGTGGTGACTATCCGCATCTCGCTCCATTCCTGGACTGAGACGCCCTGGTATGGAGGGCCCGCGAGGTCTTCTGCGAACACGTCAACCTCAACCATCAACGCGCCAGCCTTGAAGCTCAATAAAACCAGGACGCCCCTATTAGCACTGCCCCGGAATGGGGGCAGCCTAGGGGCCCCTGGGATCCAACGCTTGCGGAACAGACCTCCGCAGCACTCCACGAAATCACGACCAGAGCCCTCGCCCCCATCCTTGCCATCGCTCGGACGTGCATTTCCCGTGCATTTTTGCGGTTTCGTGCGTGTTTTGTTTCCTCGATGGTCCAGGATGGTCCTCGATGGTTCTCGCCGAGAAAACATGCACACGTCCGAGCGATGCCAAGCATCTTTCCGCGGCATTTCTCGAGCCGGATCGATCTGCGATAGCCCCAGGGCCCGAACACGGGCGAGAGCGTGCGCGGTGACAGAATTGCAGCGCCCGGATCTCGGGGCCAAGGCTGGGCTCGGCTCGGAGTCGTGGTCGGAACGCGCCCCAGGGACCCAGGCGAGGTCTGGGGAGCAGCGGCATCGGCGTCGGCAGCTCCGCGGCTCCGCGCGGGCGCCACGCGGCAAAAAACCCGTGGACAACGACGTCGTTTTGGGTTTTCCTTGAGCGTTTCCGGATGCTCGCGCGGCCGCGGCCAGGCGCGGCTGGGGAAACGGGCCAGGCCAGACGGGCTTCACGCGGGCTCGCGAGCTGCCAAAACTGGGAGGAGGAGGAGGAGGAGGAGGAGGAGGAGGAGGAGGAGGAGGAGGAGGAGGAGGAGGAGGTATGGATCTCGATGCTCTTGGTACTTTCTGATCCTCCTAGGCGGGCAGGGTCCGTCTCGGACGCATGGTCAGGGCGGATCGTTCTGGAACTCCCTGGTCCACGACCCTCCATATGATCCTACCTGATCGACGACCCTTGCTCCTCTTTGGTCCTCGCCCCTCTACCCTCCTTCTCCTCCTCCTCCTCCTCCTCCTCCGCCTCCTCCTCCTGGACCCTCTTCCTCTGGACCCTCCTCCTCCTCCTCCTCCTCCTCCTCCTCCTCCTCCTGGACCCTCCTCCTCCTCCTCCTCTTCCTTCGCCTCCTCCTCCTCCTCCTCCGGGGGCCCTGGAGACCTCGATCCGGGGCCAGCCGTTTCGTCCCGGATCCATTCTGGCGGGGCCGGCCCGAAGGACACGATAGGCAAGGGCGGCCCCTGGGGACCGAAGCGCAAGAAAGCTGCCGCCCTGACTGCGGATCCGCCACAATATGGGCGATCTCGCAAGTAGGGCGGAGATACCCGCCCTACTTTGCAAGCTCCTTTGATGCCGATTTCCGCCCTGCTTTGCAGGCGCTGGCTCCGCCTTACCTTCGCGGAAATAGCCGCCCTCTTGTCCTAAGGCGGCAATAGCCGCCATACTTTTTCGCATCGTGCGGGGTGCATTCCCAATCAATTTAAAATCGGGATATCAACCAAGTACGGCGGATCCGGAGTCAGGGCAGCATTGAAAATACAAGTCCAGCGAGACGCGTCCCAAAATGTCGATATATCCTCCTTCCCCCGTTTTCTTCCTATGGACCCAAATATCAGACGATCTGATGTTGTTCGATCACGGCGTCTTTCCTCGCTTTCGGCATCTGGGGCCCGTCATAGAGCCCCACGCCATCAAACACGGATCTGGAACGGAAAATATCAGCCAGCGCAGAATCCAAATAGATCAGAAGACTGAAATGAAATGGACTGGAGTGGACTGAAGTAGACTGAACTGAAGTTGACTGGACTGGACTGGGATGGACTCTGCTCCCTCTACTCTGCTCTACTCTACTCTACTCTACTCTATTCGACTCTACTCTACGTTGCCCGACTCTACTCCACGATGTACCCTACTCTACTCTGCTCTACTCTACCCTGCTCTGTTATATCCTGCCCTACTCTGTTCGACCTACTGCACTGTACTCTGCTCTGCTCTATTCCTGTTCTACTCGACTATATTTCAATCCTACTCTACTCTATACGAATATACTATCCACCCCTCTACTCTACTCAACTCTGCTCTGTTACATCTACTCCGCAATATTATACTCTACCCGAGTATACCCGACTCTACTCTATCATGTTCCCTATTCTACTCTACTCTGCTCTGCCCGTCCCTACTCTACTCTGCCCGACCCTAACCCGACCCGACCCTACCCTACTCTACTCTGTTCTACTCGACTCCACCCTCCGTCGCAAGTTTGGCCCAAGATGGCGCGCAGGTGGGCGGGTTCGTGGCCCTCGGGGCTGCACCCAGCGGACGCGCCACTTCTTGGGCAAGGAACCGCGTGCTGTTACATCTCTCGGCCTCCCGGGCCAGTGCTTCCGTGGCAACCTCAGGGGCGAGCTGCC